TCACAAAGCCTCAAGCTTCAAAACCACACCTGAGACCCTGCGCCTTCATCTCATCTGTTGCCTCATTCTGGCCCCACCTCATAAAAATGTATACAGTGTTCATTCCTCATCATGATTATCAGTCGGCTGGAACCGCGTAGACACACTCAGGCTTAGAGAGGAGAGTGGTGGTAACACCGGAGAAGTGCGGTGAGCATGTGAAGAAATGAGACAGGACTGAAACACCACTGACCTTTAAAGTGTTAGTTGGCTATTACATGCTGCGTGATCCGGCTGCACCGTGAAGCACAGGGCTGTGTTATAGAGAGTACAGTGGTTCTTCGCTTTGAGCATTTTGAGGGCAAATGAATAATTATCAGGCAAATAATGTCCAACAACCTGCTGGCAGGCAAACAGCCCTGACATTAAACATGATATTAATCATTATTAGCATCACAAAACAAAAAAAAAAACCAGACGATTCCCAGAGAGAAAAGTCTGAGACGTCAGACCTAACTGCAAAATCAAAGATGGCCTAAATCCACGATGATCTCATTGATGCTTTAATGTCAAAAGTGACAAATGACTGTGAATATGAAGACATAAACAGTAGTTTCCATTAATTAGTTAACCAACACTGACAGAATCTCTGCACTCTCTGATCGATAGCCTAATAATCAGAGTGCATTGTCATTTTGTTTGTCTTCAATTATTCAGCTTGACATTTAGTGTTCATGTTGGCTGATATTGTGTTGGGTTTTTTTTTTTTTGTTTGTTTGTTTGTTTTGTTTGTCCTAACCAATCAGTAGCAAGTGACATATCCAGCCAGCCACTGTCATGTGGAGTCGACACAGAATCTCTCCTATTGCTCTCATTTTTTAATTCAAGCCTCATTGTGGTTTCCCTCATTTGCAATGATGTCGAGATATATAGAAATACACAGAGTTAAAAATTCAAAAAAGGACAATATTCAGTGAAAGCAACTGCCAAGCCTCAAACTCCAGGGCTGAAAAATGAAGCCAACATGGAAGTTCGTGCTTTAAACGACAAATATATCTTCTCATGTATCAACACTTCAAATGAAACACATGAAAAGTGTAAAATATGGAACTTTTAAAGGAAATGAGTTTTTGTGGCTGATCAGAGATGTGTTTTTGGGAGCAGTAAAGCTTTCGCTTATTGCTCGCTCAGGCAGGAGTTGGCAGCGGGGAACTTCTTGTCTGAAAACATATTGGGCATGCTGGTGACCAATCACTGCAGCCCGGTCGCTGCTAATCACTGATCTGCCTGCCATCAAATCCACAAATGATTTACACACAGGGGCACGAAACAAAAGATAAAAGCGGGCACACATTTAATATTACAGTTTAAGGAACATTACATTTTAAATCAACTTGAATTATTTCTTTAATGATGTCATTGATTGCAGCATTGGAAATGCTGTGAGATAATGGTTGATAATTTATCAGTTTTTCAAGAGCACCCAACCAAAACCATGATCACCTCCACCCCGCCCCTGATTCCCCTGTTTTATATTATCTGTAAATAACCAAGCACTGAGCCATGATATTAAGAGAGAGTATAAAGGTAATCGAGCCTTGCACAAGCTGCAGCCTAAAATCCACACTAGCAGGTGCACTGATAAATTACACCCGCACCACCTTACGCAGGAATGGCACCAAGCTGAGCAACGATACATTGATGTGAAATCGAATAAACAATTAAAACGTCTGCAGTCAGTGATGTTTCATTCATGCATTTCATCCAAAGTGAAGTCATTGATGTTTTCCGTGCAGTCCATCTGATCTGACGCAGGTTCTTGGTGGTATTCACCCACTCTTTGGTCAAGCCGCATCTGAAAATACAAACAGACATTACTGTTTGCCTGTTTGCAGTGAAACATCTCTGAAAAACTTTAATCATTGCTTTAGACCTTCATACAGTTCAACCTGACTTGTATATTTAAGCCTTCAAGAGTCACTTAAAAGTGAGTGAAGTTGATTGAAGCTCAAAGTCCTGTCACTTAATACTTGCAGCCCCCGTATCGTTCTGCTCTAAATCACTGGTTGAGAGATCTGTCATTAGTAAAAAGACCTGCACTCTGAATTTCCCTCTTCCACTGACAGTGAGTCCTGCTTTCTCCAGAGGGGTGTCACAGACCTGTACTCATCTCTAAGCTATACGAGAGCCACATCAAAATCTTTACACGAGCTAACGTTCGAGGGTTGATCCTAATTATTCCACTTAAAAATCTAAGAAGCAACCTCCGCCTGACACTGTCGTGGTCTGCGTTATCCTGAGCGGTTGCGTTCACCAGGTAAAATGCCTCCAGCAAACCATCTTGTTGGCGAAATGGGCTTTTCAAATTCTCAATACATCTGCTCCAGTTTGTTTCAAGTCCATCTGGTACAAATTTCCAGCGCCTAGACAGGAGGGTTGAGGGAGTTACAGCAGAAGTTGAATATTGATGAGACCAGTCTGAAATGCTCGCCTCCTTAGAGCAGTTGACACCACACGCCCCCACAAGATTAAGTAAAGAGAGCAGCTCACTGAATCCACTTAACAACTTAAGCTAACTTCTTGAGTGACCTCTTACAGACTTGCATTATCGCAGCATTGACCCCTACAGTGAGTAATGGCAAGACCTATACAGTCTTCTCAAATCTCAAGAGAGACAAATTCAATAAGTTGAAATCAAAGATGTGTCCATTGTGTTGTGTGGAATCAATGACAGTTTGTGCCTCCGTGTTTTGTGTTTGACGATGTTAAATTGGATTTAGGTTTGGTCATTTTCGGGAGATTGAAAAAAGGAATAGAAATAAGAAACTTAAGGGAAAGTCTATTACTTTTGTGTATAACTTGAGAAGAACATCACATAAAGTTCCATCAAAGCCTAGTCTCCTGTAAACCTGCATAAATTGTGGTAATTACTTACATATCAGTATCATGAAGAAGAATGCAGATGAGTGTCTCTGAAGCATTGCAAGTGATCAAATACATTTAACCGCAATGGTTATTAATAATTTATGGGTATAATAGCAGAGGCGTAAATCAAGAGCCGAGAAAAACCAACCTTACCTTTAAGCACTGACATAAAGTAACGTGATGGTACAGTAGAATATCCCTGAATGTGCTGAAGTAGTGATGATTTTTCATTTGCTCTGGACAGTAAGGATCCATTTGCTGAGCAATTCCCACATCCCATATAGTTACCATTAGGGGAGGAACCAGAGAACATAGTGCTGTCAAAAAAGTGTTCTTTCCTACTGAGATACTGCACCGTAAAAAACTTCTTGCCAATATCTTCGTCTTCCATACATTGCAGTTTTTTTTTTTGTTTTTTTTTTTAGCTCGGTCAGAGCCACGAACCTGGTTGGTTTTGATGAGTGTGCTCATCTCTTAAAGCCACTGCCCAGCGGTGGCCAGAGCGGGCTTTACTTCCCCCGAACAGCTGGCAGAAAGAGCAGTACTTATTGCTTGTTAATGGTCAATCGCTCTTTTTCTCCTCCTTCTTTCCGTTTCCAAACAGGCTGTGCTGTGAGTTTTTGTAGATGCGATCGTATAAAACGACACATCATTATTGTGCTAACTGCTCTTCCTACCACCAACCACCCCCCATAACGCTACAAGTGATGATGCAATATCATAATGATCAGTGCTGTGTCGATAATACCCACAGACACATCTGGTGCAGCAGCTTCATTACCGCTGACACAACACTTCTCTCCTCTGGGACCGCCTGGCCTTCCAACATTTCACAGCTGTACCGTTGCTTTAGTTTGATGTCGCATTAAAGACAGCTGTGCATCATGTCTCTACTTCCCTCTTGTTTTCATAAGCTGATTTAATGTATGTTTTTAATTCAGTTTCTCTTTCATTCAACCTTCAATTCGTGTTTTTTTTCTTAAATCAGGCGCAGGCTTCAGTGTTTTCAGTTTGACGATGAAAGGTGGATAGAAAAAGCTGTGAAATCCGAATATGAAGCACCTGATTCTGCAATTTGCCTCAGCTCTACAGAGCGTCGTAGCAACTTTCAGCTTTTTCTTTTTCTTCTCAATCAGAAGAGAGGCTCAGAGCCTCCTCTCTTCTGATTGGCTCACCGACCTGTTGCTACTAGAGCTCCAGAGAGAAGCCTGAGAGAGGAGATGTAAAACTACATTGGTTTCTGGTACCTAAAGTCACAAATATATCTTCTTAAAGATATCAAAACTTGAAATAAAACACCTGAAAATTGTAAGATATGGGACTTTTAATTTATGTCCGTCTGTCAGGTATGGAGTTATTTCTCATTGTGCAGTGTCATGGTAATTTTTTTTTTTTTAAATAAAAGAGGCTACGTCTTATATTTAAACATGAGATAATAAAATCGTAACAGAGCCTAGTTACAAAATGCTTCTTGTGGGAGGTGATTTACAGTCCTGACAGCCTCAGGCAGGAAATGTCAAGTTGTTATATAGCTGTCATCTCAAGAGTCAGTAATGAGCAAGGTAACATTGCTCAGACCAGTGCTCCCAAACAGGTGATGCTACTCACACGGGGGGGGGGGGTCAGCTCCATGATTTTCCTCCTCTGTGTCATCACCTTCCCCCGACGAGACCAAGAGCCACTGTCAAATGATGTTCCCACCAATTACTGCTCCAGCCTGAGTGAGTATTGTTGGACATAATAATAGGGATTCCTCATCTAGCTTGCCAAGCAGTAATTGTTGTGCTCTAAATGGACAGTGGATTGTTCTGAATTGCTGTTTGGATGTCCAAAACATGGTGAAAGCAGGACAAATTGTGCTTTTTGTATTTTTGTTTTTTTCCCCTCCCCATCAAAATGGCGATCATGCCTGGTTCTGCTCGTCTCGGTGTCAGTGACCTTTGTAGTTGTTGTGCGGATTGATATAACAAAAGCCATTTTTGTAACGTGGCTGAAAAAACTCAATTTGAGGTGTCCCTTGAAAATTATGAAGATGACAAAGTAAAAAAAAAAAAAGAGGAAAGAAGGATGACCCAGAAACCAAAATGTCCCTGCAGAATGAACCAGGCTCCCACCAGTGGCTTTGAGGAGGATGTGGGTGCCAGAACAACTCATCATGTCATGTATCCGGAGAGTGCCATAGACCTGGACAACAGCACCAGTCTGGTGCTGATCCCCTTCAAGACTCTGGACCTGCAGTGGATCATTAGTGCTCTCACCACAGGCACCATTAAACAGTAAGTGTACTTATCCAGTTTTAAAGCTGCTATAGTCAGTGTTTTTATATTAAGAACGGGTCAAAAGTGTAAAAAGGGGTTCGTAGTGATGAATCCGCACACATTGTTCTGGTTTGACAGCCACTGTCTGCTAGCTTTCCCAGCACCAACAGTCAAAGTTAGCAAGTAACTGGTGAACGTAGCGAAACATTTAGCAGCTAAGCCTGATATTTGCCTCAAGAGTTGATGAGGAGCAAGACAGACTTAACGAGAAAATTAATACTGGACTTGGAAACATGGCTATAAATTAATGTTGCGCTAATGCTAATGTTTGGTAGCATTTTAGCCATATGATTGTAATAAGGTGAAAATATCTCAATGTTGTGTTTACAACCTGTTGCACTTTGACACCAAAATCTTGAAAGATCAAACAACAGACTGATTTAAAAAAGTAAAAATGATAAAGAAATGAAAAAATTACATGAAAAAACACTAGTAAGATATAAAATGAATTTGTCCAATACAAATTCATCACTCAAGACGTGATAATTAAGCAAATTCACACGCATGTTTTTGTTTTTCATTTCCATTTGGACCATCTTATTTCATGTAATTGTAAATAATGGTCATTGTTGCATTTTAATAAATCCTTAGTGATATTTAAGTAAATATAATACAGGTTTTACAAATAAATGATTTATGTTCAGTAATTACTTTCCCAGAATATCATTATTGGGAAAAACTAACAAATATAAATGAGCTTTTATTCTAATTAATAATGTGTGGAGCAGAGATGCTTCCTGTACCACCCCATTTGTCAATGAAACCAGAGTTCAAGAACTTTTACTGTGCTAGAAACGACTCGTCAATGCATCATGATGCATGGTGCATGTGTTGTCCTCCCAGATTCATTTACACTCATTTCAAATACCAGATTGCCATAACAATCACACTCACTCAGTATATTTGTCAGACTGCCATAACAGGGATAATCACTCTGTTTTAATCTTTCAGTAAATTTCACCTTCAGCTGCTTCATTCTCAATGACCCATAATCATTAGCTTGATTACTGGACATCCAGAGCAAAAAATTAAGCCTCTGCCAATTAATGCAGCTGCCAATAACCGAAACACGCCAGTGTGTTAGATGGTGGAAGGACGAGCAAGTCCAAACAAATTTTTCCTATAAATGTGCAGTTGTCTTCCAACTCTGCCAAAGCAATCTTTCTGCATCATTAAATTTCACTTTACTGGCAGTACTGTCAGCATTACCTCCGCAGCCATTTAGATCTTCACTGGCTGTTGTGAATTACTTTGTTACATTTTCTAGACTTGTTAAATAACACGGGGGTCTATGAAAGGACAGACCCGTGTGAGGGGACACAGGGGTAACTGTATCACACACCTGACTTTAAATAGTACCCGTCCTGGAGTTAAAGCACTTCTCTATGGAACAATGAAAGTGAAAGGATGTCATTTTTTAACTTTAGGCTGCATGATGTACTGTAGCGTACACCAGAGGCAAGACAGGTGATTTTTATGTCATGCCACACAAATCACAGAGGAACTGGTTAAACAGTCTATATCATCTTTCAACTGAAATAAGCCACACTGCTGCAGAGGCAATAGCTTTGATAAACCTTGCTTTAATTGGAAACATTTGTTTGAATTGTATCTTCCTATGAAATCATTATATTTCATCTCAGTCATTATGGAGTCAATGAAATCTGCACAGGCGCAGTGTAGAATTTGCATGTTTAAATGTTTAATTTATCAGCTCAATACGATTTGTCTTTATGAAAATGATACTCACACAAGTTTTGCATGTAGAACTGCCTCTCTATCTGCTTCCTGTTGCGGTTATGCGCTGTTGGCTTCGAAAGATGCTTTTCATGTGCAAACTGGATGGCCACCTCATGGGAGCTGCACACACCTTTATTCAAACAGCCTCTCCCAGTTTTTTAAGTTTCAGCTTTGAACCGTCTTCACCAACCTGGAATGATGAACGAGTCCACGCTGCACATCCTCCATGTGATGAATGATGCAAAATACAAAAAATAAGACAGTGAGCGTGTCGACTGAACAGCACTTTGACTTGCTCGACATGACTTTGGAATCTGCCCGTGATATTCAATCAGCTTTCCAGAGACAGTCGTAATGTTCCTGACACTGGGCATTATATTTTTAGACATGCCCTCAGTACTGTGATTGTGGATGTGGTACCAGTGATTGCAGACTCTCACGCAGAACTGTGTTCAGCAAAACAACATTTCAGGCTATTTTTAAGGCAGTTGAAGCCCAGATTTTAAGTCCCTGGTGTTCTTTGTGTTACAGCACGTATTTACCTGTCATGTCCAGGATAAGAGCAAACAAAGATAAGGTAAGTTTTACAAGAATTATACCTACATACATTTGTAACTTTAACAAAAAAATAAAATAAGATAACATAAGATTACTTTTGTTTGAATATGATGTATTTGATAATAAGAAATCCAAAAGTATGTGTACACCTGAACCACTTATATGTGATTATTGAACATCTCATTCCAAAGCAAATGGCCTGATGTGGTGTATCAGCTTTTGCAGTAGCGATATGCAGTAGTGTCACATGCTCATTCATAGTGGTATTAACACCGGTGGAAACTTGCAAGTACAAAATTGAGGTACTTCTGAGTATTTTCATTTTTTTCAGATTTTACATGTGCAGAGGAAAATATTGTATTTTTTACTCCTCTGCTTTTATTTCATATCTTTAGCCACAAGTTACTTTTCGGATTATGATTTTACATGCAAAATATGTGACGATCTTAAAGTTAAAAGTAGCTAAAAAACTGGCTGCACATTTACAAATTACAACATTGAGTAATAATATTTAATAAAAGAATCTGATAATACTTTCACCTGAGGAGCTATTTGAACGCAGTTTTTTTTTTATTTTTATACTATGATTCTACTTTTTCTTAGATAAAAATCTGACTGCTTCCAACACTGGCTTTTTCACTTTGACAAGTGCTGTGTTGCTGCTGTCTGACGGGCGTATGGCACATCAGAACAGTGTGTCACTTGGTTTGACTGACACTCACCGCTCATGCCAGTATACGACACTTCCTCAGCCTTACATGTCACTGCTGATTATGGTCTGTTGCTGCTGTGTGCCACATAAAAATGTCATGCCACTGGTCTCCTACTGACAGCTGTTACAGCATGTACCGTGTAAAACTGGAAACTTCTGTCATAACGTTATACTGGAAGATATCTATTCATAGTTGGCAGCTGTTACTGAGTCGTTGAACACGACATTTTTCTTTTTCTTCTTTTTCTTTTTTTTAGTATTTGATTAATTTAGTTATATGATTCAATATTAAATCATGTTGTTGGAAGCTAAATATATACATTTATTTATGAAGATAAAAGGCAGTAGAAAACTATTTCATGCATTGAATGAAGCAGAGGGCAGTGGCATAAGAAGCATCATAAGAGAAGCAACAGGCCACATGTCAAAGTGACGTTCCCTTAGGAATCGGTATGTTAAAAAAAAAAGAAAAACAGCTGTATAAGCCCTTGCCACTTAAACGAGAGAGACACACCACTGACCACTTTTCAATCTCAGTCTAAGTGAAGTGTGTCCCTTAATTTGAACCAAGGGGCTCAGTCCAAACCATTAAAAAACAGCTCCAGCCCCGAGCTTCTCAAAACAAAGCGCACTATATTTCTGTGGGTATATGGTATATATATGGTATATGGGGTATAAGATGCTATTTCATGTTTTTAAAGACACAGAGACGGTTTTACATGCTGTTGTCTCCTCACACTTTCAACTGTTGCAACAACCTCTACACCTGCCTCAACAACAAAAAAAAACCTATCAGTCGGCTTCAGACTGTACAGAACTCAGCTGCCAGGCTTTTAACAAGATCTGAGAAAAGTGACCACATCACACCGGTTTCAGCCTCCTTGCTCCGGCTCCCGGTACATTTTTTGGAATTGATTTTAAGATCCTACACTATTGACTTTTACAGCTCTTCACGGCCTCTGTCCATGTTATACATCTGTCCTCTTAATTGCATATGAACCAGTTCGCAGCCTGAGATCCTGGAGCAGAGGTCTCTTAGTTGTTCCCGAGGCTGAAAACTAGAAGTGACTTCATTTCACTGACTGCACACATTACTTGATTCTAATAGATCTTTGCCGGTGAAACTGTAATTGGTTCTGTTTTTATTGACTGGCTAGAGTCCGAAATTATTTATGGATTCATTGATTTTTTTATTGATTGCCCTTTTGTTGGTGACTCTGTGACCTTGTATGATCTGCTTGTCTTATTTTGCTGCTCTTTGTAATGCACATTGTAACATGGGTTTAGAAAAGTGTTCCTTAAATAAAGATTATTATTATTATTATTATTATAAGGCTTATATTGATAATGTGTTCTTTCTGCTATTTCTTTTTAGTTACCTAGTGTTTTATGGAAGTATAAAATAATAAGCAGATTCCAAACTTGAACCAAAAAGCTGAACATCATATTAATTCTTTTGCAGGTGTTGATTTACAGTCCCACATTTTTCAAATACGTGTACGAGTCTTGGCTCGAGGGTCACGGACGATATCCTTCAACCGGCTTCCTCAGCTTACTGCTCGCCATCCACATATGTGACAAGGTAAGGTGGACGGCTGTACTCAGTACATGACCTCAACAAAACAAGAGCTGCTTTGAATTCTTCAGCGAAGTGGAATAACTGTACAAGGACAACTTGTTTGATGTTTTATGAGATTGCATTTTCAGAATAAAAAAATTTGTTTTGGAAAATGAGGGAATCAAAAACATGTGGAAAACTGAACAAAATCGATAGACGAATAAATGTATAAAGCTTGTGCAGATGATGTTTTACTGCAGGCGTGACACAGTAGTGGGTTCTGCTTCTCGTCTCCTCCAGGTCAGTGTGTTTGGATTCGGGGCTGATCAGTACGGAAACTGGCACCACTACTGGGAGGAGAATCATTTGGCCGGAGCTTTCCGTCACACGGGAGTCCATGATGGAGATTACGAATATAATGTCACCCTGCTGCTGGCAGACAAGCACAAAATCCGAATGTTTAAAGGCAGATGATACCCAGCCCGTATGTGCAGTGGGCTGACCACCAAATGAACCCGAGCAGCTTTTTTAATGTTTATTTTTCCTTCACCTCGCACTGGAAGAACGTTTTTCATCGTCATGATTTCCAAGAACATTTTACTTGTCTGTCCAGATTTCTGTTCTTCACTGAAGCTACTGTTTGAGAAATCAAACTCCTACTGACAAAGCAACAGTTTTTCTTTGTTCCCGGAGACCGACCGCGACAAGACAGACACAACCACTGCCACTTGTTTCAGGACGTTTTCATATTAGGTACATTTGCTTTGCACCATGCCTCAGTACCGCCACCTACTGCACGCTGCGATACAGTAGGTGGCGGTGTGCACCTAGTTGTTTTGCAATCTGCCAATAAACACAAAGAAGAAGGAGAGAACACTTGAGTCATAAACTAAACTAAAGAACATTTGTTTATGTTGTCGCTCTGGTGTGGAAAGGCGGTAAATACTCTCAAATGATTCCATAAATATTGGACTTTTTGTGGTAAATGGACTGCACTTAATATAGCGCCTTTCTCGTCTAAGAGACCACTCAAAGCGCTTTACAATACTTGCCACATTCACCCATTTACTCACACCAATACACACAGTCATAGAACAGCCATCAGGGGCAATTTGCGGTCCAGTATCTTGGCTTTACACATCGACACAAAGACTGGAGGAGGCGGGGATCGAAACCGCTCACCTTCCGATTAGTGGACGACTCGCTCCTCCTCCTGAGGCGCAGCCACTCCTAAAGTGTGTGTGCGCAGCGTCCCATAGTGATGTGTGTGTTTTTCATCTGCACAAATTTCAAACAAGCATATCCTTTCGGGGTCAGATGGTAAATAATAGTCCATGTCTGTGTTTTGGTTCAGTAGTTTTCACACATGATACGAACCATGCCTCAGTGCACACAGGGACCCGTGAATGGTTCGTGGATCTGTGCTTGGGTACGTTACAGTGTCAAAGCCCCGTCACTCAAATAACGTCATGGAGTGACCAGAGAAGAAGACGAGAGACAACGGTCTGGTCGCCAAGCATGCTATACATAAAAAGCTTTAGTATGTGTACACTCTGTATGTTCTTTTTTCTTTTAACTGGCAACCATCGTGGCCACCTGAAGCTTTGTGCGTTAATGGTCCCTCACACTGACAGCTGTAGTCAGACAAAGTGCCATAATTGCTGCGTTGATGTAAAGACTTAGCGAAGGTGATTTTTGTACAAAACTCATCATTGTCATTAATGCAGAGAAATATAACCACTGTCTGCTGGTCTAAAAGGTGTAGGCTGCATTGAAAGCTTTTTACAGTAAGTGCAAATCGACAGGCTTCACAACAAAACACACCATCGACTGTGCTGTAAATATCCCTTCAGTATAAATTCCCACCAAATGGCAGTGACGGTGTCTTACATTATAAGAGAAAAATCAGTTCTGCTTTCATCACTCTGGCTGATTCTGAATCTCACTACAGAGCTACGCATCTTGCGTGTCTGACTGATAGCTCAACAAGGCCGAGGGACACGTAAAATCAAACCCAAAATAAGCCTCAAAGAATATACACTCAGTGAGCATTTTATTAGGAACACCACTGGGTAGAGCCTCCCTTTGCTCTCAAAACAGCCTCAGTTCTCCGTGTCGTTGATTCCACAAGATGTTGGAAACTTTTCTTTGAGATTCTGCTCCTCGTTGACATGATCGCGTCACGTCATTTCTGTGGATTTGTCGGCTGCACATTCATTCTGCCAATCCCCTGTTCTACCACATCCCGGAGGTTTTTCTGCTGGATTCGGGTCTGGAGACCGGGGAGGCCACTGGAGTACACGATGATTGATTTGTATTAAGGGCCCAAGGTGTGCCAAGAAATCATTCCCCACACCGTTACACCACCGCCTCCAGCCTGGACTATTGACACAAGGCGGGTTGGATCTATGGATTCATGCTGTTGACACCAAATCCTGACCCTACCATCTGCTGTCTCAGCAGAAATCCACATTCATGCCCACTGCAGCCTCTGATAAATGTTCTTGGCTGACAGGAGTGAAAACCAATGTGGTCGTCTGCCGTTGTAGTTGACATGTTGTGCTTTTCTAAAAGCTCACCACAGTTGTAAAGAGTCTGAGTTACCATAGCCTTTATGTCAGCTTTAACCACCTGGCCATTCCCCTCATCAACAAGGCCTTTCTGTCCACGAACTGCCAAATACGAATGTCCAAATACCCGAAAAACTAATCAGTCTTACCTGTACTTTGTGTTTAGCACTAATTAACAAATAGTCACATTCTAATATGCTAAACTAAGATAGTAAACATGGTAAACAATTTACCATATAGAGTGCTGCAAGGATGATGTCATTTTGTAGTTAGCATCTGATTTAGCCACTCGTCAGAAACCTTGCTTGTGTTAACTACAGACTTTATTTCAGCCATCTAACCAAAAACCCCATTGACCAGTGCTTTATTTAGCGTTGTCAGTTTGAGCATGTTAGCATGCTAACATTAGCATTTAGCTCAAAGACTCATAGAGCTGCTAGCATGTCTGTATGATGTAAACTCCCTCCAGGTTGTTAAAATCAACAGATCTCCTGAAAAAGTCGAGAGGACATGACCACAGTTCGGTCAAAGGAAGCTCCTATCCCTCATTAACTATGACCCGTTAGCTTTCAGTGTTACAGTGCAGCTGAGCCTGTGTCACTTTTAGCATCAAAACTGTTCAAGAAATCTAAGATTGAATATCAGTGTTATTCTTTTACTTGCATGTCTCCTTCCAAACTGAGTCGTTTTGGGGTTGATTTTTTTTTTTTAAGTGTCTTGGCCTTAAAGGACTTTGCTGAAGACCTGCAACGAGGTGTGGATTAAGAGGACAGCCATAGTGAAGTAATCAGTGAGATTTTCATCACTCAGTGTAAAGAAAAATGATAGAAAGGTTTTAAATGCTTGAGGTGTCACACAGACACCAGGTTCTTCATCAAGTTGTGCACAGTCATAAATCATGGACAGCTGACATATGACACAGCCTACACAGGGGTGCCTTATCATTACAATCCACAATGTACTGCACACTTTTAATGTACTCTGTGACATGCATTTCTAATGAAAAGTAGGTGTTAAGTGCCTTTAATTGGAGTTTTTTTAAGACTTAATTTTACCATTAAATTTTACTGCATTGTAATTATCTTTGTTATTCCTTGATTTGTCAGTAAACTTTACAAGTTTCTGTTATTGTTGTGTAAACAGTGTAAATTTGAAAGAACTATATGCATGATACATACAACAATATAGCCATTTAAGAGATTCTTGTTTGTGCCACAGAAGAAAATGTTGGGTATATACAGTACATGTAGGGTAGGTATGTGAAAAACCTTTGGCTTAGCAGTGAGACACAGTGGCGTCTGAAAGTATTCAGACCTCTTCTCTTCGTGCACACTTTAATATCTTGAAGATTTCATTTTAAATAATTAAAATTGCCATTTTTCCCCTCAAGCTTTCAATCACGACAAAGTAGAAAAACATGCTTTAGAATTTGTCTGCAAATTTATTAAAAATCTAAAACTGAATACTGAATCAAGGGTCTGAATACTTTTGTAAATGGCAGACTTCAAGTTGCAGTTTTAATACATTTTCAAAAAACTCTAAAAACATGTTTTCACCTGGGTCACTGAGTGTAGACTGATGGGTAAAAATGGAAATTGTTATCCATTTCCAAGTGAAGTGGTGTGAATACTTTGTGAAGCCACTGTCTGTTTTTATCCAGGCTTGAAATTATTAACTGCACTTGCTGAACTTGTAGATGTTTGAATTCTGTGTTTTATGGCTTCAAGAAAACACATAAGCACTTCTCCTGCCCTCACGTTTTCATTGTCGCCGACAAAATCTGTCGGATCTGAAATGCTATAAGTGTTGTTTCAGATCTGTCAGGAGCTGAGCTCGGCGGTGCTTCTCTAAAAGGCTATGATTTGCTCCATGTGCCTTGTTCCATAGTGGGACATTTGCGCTGTCAGTGTCGTCAGTGATCTTTTACCTCTCTGTGTGAGAGCAGGCTGATAAGAAGAGGAAAAACCACACTATTTGTTCACCTTGTGTGCATATCAGTTGCCACATAAGACAATAGTGATGTGCATTTGTTCTGCAGGGGACACTGTCACCTAGTGGACAAGATCACGTATCAGCATTAACATGGCTTGATTTGTCCTTTCCAGGGGCTGATGTAATGACTTAAAACTTTAGAAACTGTATTCATTTTTTAAATGTTTAAACCTATTCACAAAACCTGCAACACGCCTGAGTTTGATTTGCTTTTACATCCAGTTGAGGTCTACATAACAATAATAATAATAATAGTTATATAAAACCCATTAAAGCAGCTCCGTCTGAAAAATCACATTTTTATATTCATTGTATATTTTCTCTAGTCTGAAGAAGTCCAGGTCACTGGCTTGCTACTTGGTACTTCTTGTGTGGGAGAGCTGGATAATGAAAACCTTGCATTATTCAGTAATTCAGTTATCTGTGGACTCCCACAATACTGTAAAATACAATTGCGGCTTCTATTTTTTGCTGAAATGTGTGAAAACAACAAGGAGGTTAATAACTTATAAATAATACATTTCACAAGCTTTATGCAAATTTCGAGATGGGAGTTTGTAATTGAGATGGGTAAGTGGAGCTTGCATAGTGAGCGAAGTGAAATGGCATCCCAAATCTATTTCACATGGAGGATATTACAAATTGATGACAGAGTAAATGAATTAATCTTTATTGCACTGGACAGATGCAAAACAAGATAATTATAAATAAAATATGTCCCTCATTTGCATTGGAATGCATGATGTTTCTGACGTACATAGACACTGTAACTTTTATTCTGAAGAATATCCACGGTCGACAACTTTGAACTTATTTCTTCTTTTTCTACTATTGGAAGGATTGTGTTTTTCCCTCTTATAGATACTCATTTCATTTCCATCATTTCAGTTGTTTTCTTTTTTAAAGGATGAAATTGGGAACACGGCCATTAGTCAGCTTTAATTAGTGAGTGAGGGGGTGTTCATTCGAGTCAGTAATAAGTTTGTTTATTCTGCCATTACAGACCACAATGACTAGACCTAATAAAAATGAGTGAATGCCAGCAGGTTCCCGAGGTTCTTCTTTCTTCTGTCTATTTAATGAAAAATAAAAATGACTCTCTGCTTTCACATCAGTGTTGTGCTGAAAGAATCAACATAATTACATAAAGACATGATGCGACACCATCGGGAAATAGCATCTGCCATAAATATTGAATGGTGAACCGTGTTTCGACAGGATGTATGTGTTTTATGATTGTGTAGTGAAATGAGATTATTTAAGCTACAGTTGTTATCCCTGAGGAATTGGCCATGAATTCTGCTGCACATTCACTTTGTCTTTGCTTTTTTTGTTCATGATGAAGCAGCTCGGCTCTTTTCACAGCTTGACTTCTAAGTACAGCTGTTTTGTGGGTGCCGTGGGAGAAACTTGTTCAATTTCACAAATTATTGTAATTAGTGTGGTTGCTGAATCAGCACTCACACTCTTTAATAATAACATTTAAACTTTCATTTTGCCCGAGACACTCATTATTTTTGTATCTTATTCATAAAAAGCACAAACTTCTTTAAAACGTCAAAACTAAAGACTAATGAGAATTAACAGATACATTACGCATGAAAGGCAATGGAGTCCTATTCACTCCCACTGTATTTATAGTTCAGCCTTTATGCACTGTACATGTAACATTAATTTTTCAGTTTGGCCTGCTGATTATATATGTATAAGATCATGATAATGGACAAGGAAAGATAATGAGCTACACAATGCACTGAACTGTAAAGAGTCTGCTTAGCCACCACTTTATTTATATCTCAGCCAGTGAATAAAGGCACACTCCAATCATATTTCAAAATGCCCAGTATTGAACTTTGGTCAGCTATATGAGCACGTAATGATGACAAGTACTCTAATATGGCACGCTGATCAATCATACATAAGCCCATAATAAAAAACATTTATAGTGTATGAGATATAAATTAGATATGAACTTGCTGGAATCCAGTTTAAAAGCATTTGATTTGCTGGATGCTCTGAATTATACACAGTTCAAATGATGACAATAAAATGATGACAATAAATGATGAGGTCTGGTTTTGATTAATGAATTGAATTTGAATATTGGGTCTCATTCAGCCCGAGAGTGTTTATAATACACTCATTATTGCACAAGAGTTAACGAATGGAATGGAATCAATCCATCGTAAATGGTGCAAGGTCGTAATATTATGTCTTAGGTTATAGTGCGCGGAAGTCTATTGGACATGCAGCCATTGTGTGTCGTTACATGCATAACAAAATCCATTCAAATTACTTAATGCTCAGTACTGCATACTGATCAGCCACATAATTTCATAGAGGTAGCAGTCATACACTGGGTTACAACAGCGTTAAGATCCTGCAGTCCGTGCTGCCACCATTGCACTCTACTTGCACTATACAGCAGATTCTATTAGGATTATACAAGCATCATAATCATATGGCGTTGACATGAGCTTACGCATGTTCTGATCACGTTCAATCAGCGGTGGAGGGAAAAGTACTTAGATCCTCACATTTTAACTACAGCGTAAACTATTACAAGTAAAAGTTCTGCATTAAGAATTTTGCTCACTGGTGAGTAAAAGAACAGATTTATTATCAACACAAAATAAAGTGCGCACTGTGAACAGGTAACCCCTTTCCAAGTGTGACATTATTATTTATGTTTATAGTAAATGACTGTAGTATCATAACTGAAGCATTAGCATGTAAACAAAACATTGCAGCAGGTCGGTGGAGTTCACTTCAACTGCTTTTTATATACTGTAGTTTAATCAATGAGGTAATCAAGTTGCTTGTTATGTAAAATATAAAGTAGCATGAAATGAAAATAAAAGTAGAAGCCTGATAAAGAAATGTACTATTGTAATAATTGCGAAAGAAAGAAAGAAAGAAAGAAAGAAAGAAAGAAAGAAAGAAAGAAAGAAAGAAAGAAAGAAAGAAAGAACAACAATCTGAATAATTTTGTGACAAAAAGGCAACCTCCATTTGGTGATGAAGATCATGTCATATGATTAAAAGCCCCAGAAGAGCTTTTAAACAGAACCTGTGGTGAGATTTTCCCAACTAATATAATTCAATATTATATCAATGTTGGAAAGTAATGTGTACATTTATGCTGTAAATACTGTACTTTAGTACAATTTTGAGGTACTCATAATACTACTAATAATAAATACTTGAGTATTTCAATTGTATGCTACTTTATACTGCTACCCCACCAATTCAGAGGCTCATATTTTACTTTTCACTCCACATATACTTGATACCTTTAGTTGCTATTTTGCAGATTCAGATTAACAATACTAAACATAATCAACATATAGATTAGGATGTATTATCACACTGTAGGTTCAAGTTGCACTGATCTTTGGGAGGGGAATTTAAAGGCAACCAAGCAGCACATAAAATGATTAAAATTAGCACCAGCTTCACCAGCTGCAGGATTAAAGCGATGTGTATACAAATGAACCAGTAATTATAATCCAAACATAGATTATGAAGTGGCTATTTTGCATAATGAGTAGACTAGAAGCACTGGGAGTGCTGCCACCTCCACCAAAACCAGTGTTGAACGTCATACACCAACATACACCAGACTTCAAAGAAAAAAAAATTAAATTCATGGTAAATGATCTGAATCTGCCCTTAAAAAATGTAATGGGTTCGTCCCTGGTCCATGTTTCATCCTTTCACCAAGTTCGGTGCAAATCGGTTCAGTACTTTTTTGTTTAATAATGACAAACAAACACACAAACACACACATACAGGTGAGAACATAACCTCTTTGGCGCAGGTAACGAAGGCGACACACACGTTATCGCCGTGGACTACAGCGACCATGATGACTCAGTGAGTCACTCCGCTCGCTAAAGGGGCTGTTCCCCTTTAACGCGTGCAGGTGACGGCGATGACGCCACCCGCCGTTCAACAAGCAGCACAACAAGGAAGTCTTCGGAGAGTTCAAGTCGTGCAGACGGAACGAATTCACGAGCCAATGTTTGCCTCGTAGCACAGGTAAGTACGGCTATTAAAACCCTCTGTTGCGTTCGCCCCGTTCCGTCGCCGAAATGTGAATCTTTTTTTTGCGGGTTCAGCTTCAGCTTCGTCTGAACATGGCAACTGTAGATACTGGTTTCACTTTCAAGTTCGTAAAAAAAAAAAAAAAAAAAAAAAAAAAATGACAGAACAGATACGGACACGAACTTATGAAAAACTACGCAGTTATATATATTGTAAAAAAACACACACACACAAAAACAAACTACTAGAGCGACGGTGACTCCGTTTGGAAACCTTTGGGGTGGAAATGTTGCTGTAGCAAACTTAAAAACACCACCGTCATGTTTTGGTCCTGACATGTCAGTACTATACAGGCCGAGCTTCCTGTAAGGTGGCCACCGTTGGTACCGTGTAGGCCGTGATCACTGTCTTGGCAGAAGACTTTCCAAACTCTTATTTACACGTGACGAAATCCTTAAATTAGCTTCTTAAACACATTTCGCACAGAAATACTGTCATTCAGAAAGTATTCAGACCCTTATTACATTCATTTCCCCAACTCATCTATCTTTACTCAATACCACATGATGACAAACTGAAGGCAGATTTTTTGATTTTTGCAACATGACATTTGAAATTTAGCTCCCATTTCTCTTGATGATCTTTGATCTTTGTTTCTACACCTTGATTCGAGGCCACCTGAGGTCAGTTCAGCTGTGAGTTACAGAGGCACAAGGTTGTCCACATAAGATCTCACAGCAGATTCTTCTGACAATAGTGTTAATAATCTCCCAAAGCTAAAATTGACACATTTAAATTGCATCTAAATTGCTTAAACTGAAAAAGGAAGATGTAAACAAAGACTTGCAGACATGTTAGAACCACTAACAACTGCCTGTACATTTTATGTATTTTATCAGGATGCCAGTCGAAAGCCCGGAGGACAGGACAGTGGAGGTTCTGGCGCTGCCTGAACAAGTGGATGAGGAACTGCTGTATCTGTACTTCGAGAATAAACGTCGCTCTGGGGGCGGACCACTCTTCTCTGTGGAGAAGAAGGGTGACCGTGCCTTATTGGTGTTTGAAGATGCGGAAGGCAAGTTTGTGATTTGTTAACCTTTGACATGAGCTGCTTTCAAAATCTTCTATGCAAACATATGAAGTAACAGCTATAGGAACAGAAAAATCATGAGTGGAGACAGTGCAGTTTACAATTAATATACAGCATGCAAATTCTTTCATTTCTCTTCCTGTTGCTTTGACAGCTGCAGCCCAAGTGCTGTCTAAAGGGCACCACGTTCTGCATAATGTCGAGCTGTGTGTGAGAAAGCCTGCCTCAAAGGACCAATGCAGGCTGCTGCTGCGGGGGATCAACCCCACCACCTTCTCTGAGATGATAGAGCTCTATGTGGAGAACATGTTGGGCTTGAACGTGACAGAATACACCCTGTATCCCTCACCGGGGAGAGATTTCATCCTCATCCACCTCAGCCAACCCTTGTCGAAAGGTCTCTTAAACGCACATGTTTTCTTCTTTCTCAAAAACAATCTGATCTTTCCAAATGTTCAGGTTGTGATTTTCTTACTGTTTTCTTACTGTTTATATGTGTTTTTGCTTTACAGATTTCCAAAACCTTAGTGCAAAGATCTCCAAGAGGACACTGGATGGGGCCAAGGTAACACTTGAACAGCTTGAGCAAACTGACTCTGTTCTAGTGGAGAACCTGCACCCTGGCACCTCTCCGGACATGCTCACTCTTTACTTCGAGGGGAAGCGAGGAGGGGATCAGAAGGTGAAGGAGGTCGCCATGCTTTCAGAGGGTACAGCGAAGGTGTCATTTGTCAACTATGACTGTAAGTTTTGCGCCGTACAACCTTTTTAAAAAAAAACTCTCGTTGCACATTTACAGCTTCCTTCATAAACAAAGTGTCTGTTCTTCTTGTAACAGCTCTGGGCCCTGTCCTCGAGCTCCAGCACAAACTGGACGGCGCTGACCTGCTCGTGAAGCCATACTTTGACTTTCTTCAACCAACAGAAAGTGCAACATCACAAAACTCTGCAAGTGGAAGCCAAGATATGACTGAGAGAAACTCAGAGGATCTGAGTGATATTCAGATGCAGACCGCTCCCCCCATGGTGGTCACTGCCAGCAGCCCGTCCGGCTCTCAGCCGACCTCGGAGCCTCTTGCCGCCCATGAGGCGGCAGAGGAGGCAGCAGAGGAAGTTATGGAGAATCATACAGAGGATGCAGAAACACTATCGAGCCATATTCCTATAGCTGACCCGCTAAAATTAGCTCTGTTTCAACTTTGCCCCCTTCCACAGAACATTGAAAAGACTGACCCAGATATCACCGTCCAAATTAGGGAAGATGGGGTGCACATTGTAGGACCTGGCGGACAAAAGATGGAGCAGATAAAACAGACCGTCTCTGACTTTCTCGGCAATATGTCTGAAACTCATTTCACTCTCGAGCCAGAAAAGGCCCAGTTCCTTGCGAGAAAAGATGTAAAAGAGCGACTACAACAAACCATGAATCAAACTGGGTCACCCTCCATGTACTCCGTATCAGATTCTAAAGTCGCGGTAACATCGCTGTCGCAGAACTCGGCTCAGCAGGCATGTAGCTTTTTGAAATCTCAACTGAGTCACTTCAGCGTACCTTTGGATGCACAATATGAGGGCATGTTATATTGCAGAGAGTGGTCTGAGTTCCTGCAGGCTCTGGGTTTCTCCTCTGTGAAGGTGTCGGAGCGAGGAGGGAATATTGATGTGTTGACTCTGAAAGGGATGGAGAGCGAGAAGCAGACTGCCATCCTGCAGTTTCTCAGCACACCCATTGAGAGGGAGACAGTCATCTCTATGGAGCCGGGCATGCTGAAATACATCCAGATCCATTGTCATCAGCTACTGGCCGACATGGACCAAGTGTCTATTTTTCCACTAGAGGCTGAGGATGTCTGTGGGTTAAAGGTATGTGATGCATCAGTATCACATGGCTTTAAAGCTTTAGTTTTAATTCACCTTTTGACATATTTGTCTATCTACCTCATAGATCCACGGTCATGCTGTCGCTTGCCAAATGGCTGAGGAGGTGTTGCAGGGCGTCGTCTCCTCTATCTGCACCAGAACCATCACAGTAAACGCTCCAGGAGTGGCCCGGTTTTTAGGTGAGGCAGAGTGCAAGAGCATCCTCAATGAGATGGAGTCAAAGTTTCAGGTCTACATCAGCCCGAAGCAGGCGCCCTGGGAACCCCTGCCTCACCAGGTAATGAAATGATGGAACAGAGCAAAACTTTTGTTATCGTTTGTGTTTTTGAAACTATGACATGCAACTTGATTCTTCCACGTTCTCCTCTCAGTTGGCCAGTTATTCCGGTTGTCATTCATTTTGACGAGCTGTCTCCCTTGAAACTGTATACAGAATAGCCTCAGGCCGAGTTCTTTTCGGCATAAACATGACAGAAGTGAAACACAGATGCTTACTGTTTCTCCGAAACAGTCCTGTCTGCTGAATGTTTTAGCTTCACTGTACTTTATACTCACAGACCTCTCAGATAAAAAACAATGTATATATCTCTGAATGTCCCAAAGAAAAAGTCAAGTAAGCAGTCAGTGCAAAGAGGGTGGCAGAGGGTGGTCAGTTTAAGTGTGGGGAGCAAAGACTGTTTTCTGAAGACCTTTTCTGATCCTTTTGTTTAGTGTAATTATTGGACTCCAGGCTCACCCGTGTTTTAAACATGCCGAAACACTTGAATCACACTGAAACTGAATAAAACGAATAAACAGCAGCCAGAAGTTGTGATGAAATATGAACACTCACAGTGTGTGTGCTGAGCCATAGAAACACACTAAACAAAACAAGGTCATTCTGCCCTGCACAAAGATTTTTGATAAATTGTTTTGCACAAATACCAAAATCCTTCATGTTATTCTCCTTAAGACCAAAATGTAGCACATTGACGTTTTTCCTTTTTTGCAACCTTTATAACAAAAAGGTCAAAAGTCCTGAAACTTAAATGAAAAATTGTCAGCAATTGTGACGTACTCTCAGTTAGTAGTTAACGGCCTAACTTTTGCAAAGTCACTGATATGACCCTTTTTTAATATGCAGGAAATATTCATTACAGTTTTAATTAGCATAACATTAAGTCAGAATCTGCTACTCAACATCAAAATGTGAAGTAATTCAGGTTTCCCTGCAGCAGAAACATTCAGTGTTCACAGAAACATTGTATTTTTTATTCCAGGACATTTTTGAAACTGCATGGAAGATGATGTCACACAGAAACTTTCAGAAAGTGTCTATGGATGCTCCTGCACAGTTAAAATCGGATTCAGTGCAAACTGATAATAATGGAGCTGCTGACAAAGGTAATATCTCTCTCTTTATTGATTTCTCATGATCCTGTGCAGTTTTAAAGAGTCTGTTTGCTTCTGTGCAGGCCTTTTAGAGGAGGCGAAGAGAATCGTCTCAGCCATTGATGAAAGTCTCGAGGAGGGTGTTTCCAATTCAGAGCAACTCATGGATGACATGGATAACATGGACCTGTACTCAGCAGAGGAACCGACCAGCCTGACAGACCAGGACTCTGATGTGATCGTTTTAGATGCTTCCCAGCTCTCAGCTGAAGGGAACGCTGCCGGCGGGTTAGCCGCGGGCCTTTCTAGCGATCTGGAAGAAGAGGCCCAGCTGTCTTTAGCCATCCAGTACTCGATGGAGTCAAGCCATTGGTCCCTGGAGGATGAGGACGAACAGCTGAAACAAGCCCTGGAGCTGTCCAGGAAAATGATCCAACATGAAGCCTCTTCTAGTGGTACTGACAAAGGCCCCCGTGGGGGTCAGCTGAACAAGGTCACTGATGTTTCCTTACAGGATGCCATCAAGGCGGCCAACACCATCCAGATAGTTGTGTTTGCAGGTTATAGCTGTGATCTCATTCGTGTGGACATAGCCTTTGGGAAGAAGGTCAGCCAGAGACAGGTGGAGGAGAAACTCGAGCACAGGAGTGTGAGGAACATGTCTGAGTACCACAGGAAGTGTTTGGAGATGATCAAGAGGAAGCATGCGGTCGAGATTCAAATTCAGGGCACCATAATCACTGTTTCTGGATTCAAGGACTTTGTGGCCGGAGGAATTTGTGACGTGAAGCTGCTGATGGAGAAAATCAGTAATGCTGTTTCCAACCAGGAAATCCTGCGGACTGTCCAGTGGGTGCTGCATGATCCAGCCTCCTCAGACACGGCTCCATATTCACCTGATGCCACAGTTTTCATCGAGAATGCGTGGAGGATGAAGCTGAAAAAGGTTGATATATTGCTAGACAATCAGCCCCACATTATCAGTTTTGAAAAGATGCAAGAACACAACATAGCCTCTGGAAAATATATGAAAATCTCCAGGAAGATGCTCGAATTAGGGGATTTGAATGAAGACATACCAGGTAAATGAAACTTAAGAGGTCTAGTATTTTTAAGTATTCTGCAGAATGATGCTTCTGTGTATGGAGCCCTACAACTGACAAAATCTAAGATTGTCAGACAAGTCAAAAATATAACTGAATGCATCATATCAGGAAAATGCTTCAAAAGAAATGCTAAAAAAGATAGCTAGCTAACACAGCTTTTATCTTTATAATGTACTTTAAGTACAGTATAATGTCTTTTAAGTCATTTTCTTTCATTTTCTTTGTCAAGGACCGCAATGGAAATAAGTATATAAGTACATATGGACTTAATTGTGTTATCAGTGACATTTTATAAATTTGTGTAATTTAATATTTATCTTCCCCTCTTGACAGATGTTAGTTACAAGTTGACACACTAATTGAAATATTAGAGACATCATAATGTAACTACTGTATTTCAATATATACAAATAATTAAAAAATTAAGTTAAAAAAAGAAGTCAAGCATGACATAACTGACTCTAACTAGCTTCATCATTACCTTATCATTTTATTAATATTAATCATCAAGTTAATATTATCACATCAGTATGCATCAAAATCTTTGCTGGAGGGATATTGGTGAGAAAATCGCTGTTGGTGTTAGCTCGAAATAGCTCTGGCAAGCTAATTTGATTTGTTCATTTGCTGGCTATAAGGCTTTAGCTACTTTTACTTAAGGGGTTTACGCAGGACAGTATATGGATGATAATGACTTATTTAAATAGCAGTATTATTCATTTAAAAAATACATTTTGACCTGTCTGATAAACTTGTACTGCTTTCTGTCAGTTTTGGGAGTTTTTAAATGATCTAAGGGGTTAAAAAAAAAACAAAAAAAAACAAAATTACATCTAATAAAACTCACTGAACTGATAAAAACTGAATCATTTGTTGACAGAAGAGGAATACTCTCTGCTGTCAAACCTGCCCGAAGCAACCAAAGTCGATGAGGAATCTGATGAATTTCAGAATGTGGTGAAGAATTTCTACGAGACCATCCAGGAATACCACAGCAAGATCAGAATCATACAGGTGAAAAAAAATAAAATAAAATAGCCTACATATTTTGCAACAAATTGTTGTGGCGTGTCTGTAATAACATGGCTGTTTTATTTTGTTTTTTCTCCAGGTGGAAAAGCTCATGAATCGACTGCTGTACAATCAGTACAAGTTAAAGAAGGCAAGTGTGCTGCAGCGAGCCACGTACCCAGAAATCGAACGGACTCTCTACCATGGTACGAGTGAGACGAGTGTGAAGGAGATATGCGTTCATGGATTCAACAGAAGCTTCTGTGGAAAGAATGGTAAGTTTCGGAATAACATTTGGCCCAGTTTGCCTCACCTTGGTTATCAATCTCTTGACATCATGGTTTCTCCCCACAGCCACCGTCTACGGTCAGGGGGTGTATTTTGCTGTCAACTCTGCGCTGTCCGTTCAGGATCAGTATTCACCCCCAAACCTAGATGGATACAAGTTTATTTTTGTGTCAAAGGTTCTAACAGGAGACTACACTAAAGGTTGCCATTCAATGAAGACCGCCCCGTTGAAGGAGACCGGTGATATTCCTCTCAGATACGACAGCGTTACAGATGACATCACCAAGCCGTCGATGTTTGTCATCTTCAATGATACACAGGCTTTTCCAGAGTATCTCATTACATGCCAGAGAATCCACCGCTGAAGAAACTGATAGCTGTCGGATAATAACCATTAATTTGTTGTTTTAATGTTTTGCCTTGATTAGAAAAGTGCATTTGATTTATAAAGGGCTAATGTGTTATAATGTACAGTTGATATTTTTTTCTTTGATCAAGATTACTTCACACTTGTACTTTACTGTTGTCTTTATGAGTTGCTCTACTTTCAGTTCCTGAGTTTGATTGAGAGAAACTCAGTTAATTCAAAAAACACATTTTAATTAAGTAACTTAAAACATTCTCTGTCAGCACAATAAAGTCTTCAAATAGGTGTGACTCAGCTGTTATTGCATGACATTTTACTTGTAACAGTCAATTTTGTATTTGTCGGCAGTGAGCATACACGTCAATGTTTACTCTCCTTGCTTAAACTTGAAAGCATTCGAAATATGTTGTATTTGTGATTTTAAAATCAACCATAAATGATCTGTTTCATTTAGTTACTGGTCTTTCTTACAGATAATTGTATTAATGTGAATATTTCTTTGTCTGCTGACAGTGCTGGAAACCCTACTATGTTAATGTGTAACTATTCATTAGTTTATGCAAAAAAGTTTTTATTGACCTGAATATGACCTTATATATATTATATATATTGACTTTCAGGTTCAGTTGTAGCAACCATACTGCAGGTTTTCTTCTGCCTATGTGAATATAATTAAGTGAACTCTGAAAATAGAGAAATCTAACTCTAAATATAGTTACAGTAACTACTTGGTGTGTTTTTAAAAAAAAAAAAAAAAAAAATGCAGTCCCATGTCCACTGCTCTACCATGAAGAAAATGTAATTTAAAAAATGATCACCATGGTAACAAAAAGAAAGAAAATTAAGCTTCTAATAACCAGCATTATTCTTCATCACGGTGGAGCTAATTATGATTTTTTCAAGTTTCAAGCTACAGTATCATTACCTGGCCTTGCACATCCATCACATCTGCTGTGCACAATAAAGGAATGTGTATTGTTATTTTAGTAAAATAATCTGAGCTAGGCCTTATGTACTATGTGAAAACATGATGGAGCTTGATTGTCATATTTCCATATTTCCATATTCCTTTACCCTTCCTCTTGAATTGAGAAACCATTAAAAGATTTGTGGGAACATTCTGTGGAATCAGCCATCAGTAAACTTCAAAATATAGTGCTGTACTGGGCCTGTGTTTTCATCAATCACATGATTATGTTTGGTTTTCTATACTAAAAAAAAAAACTTAAGTGTACTTGGGTGTAATTTGTGCACAACATTGTCGTCAAGGCTTTTTATTGAATTGCATCACACTCATTTGTTTTCTATATGTAAAAATGTAAAAATGATACATTTAAAAAGTATTTTCTGTTCATTCTGTCCCTCCGCTAAGTTGCAGCAAATAGTCTGGATCTGGAACTTCACTTACGGAGACTTTGTCTTAAAAAATGATCAGATAAATCATTTATCTGAGGCGCTTTGCTTTGAATAATGGAACAAACCTCATGTAGTAAAACATGATGATAATTTCCATATAATAATTTGACCATTCGTAAGAATTTTCACATGTATCCTGAAACTATAAAGATAATAAAGAACTGAATACTTTTGAACTGTGGGGGCAGCAGTACGCCCGCCTCGGAGCAACAAATCTGCCAGAAAAAGAAAAGCCGAAGAAGAAGAAGACTCACGCAGTCGCAACACAGCGAACACAACGACAGCTAACTGCTAGCTTACCTGGCTATCGGATAGATAGCTTAAGTTAGTAAACCACAAAGTATGATACCCTAAATGTGAACAGAGGGAGGAACAATAAAGCTACAAACTCTGTTAACGTGTTTGATATAGGTACGTCGACAAGTTTAATTCATGATTTGCAAAGACATGCCAAAACTTATGTCCGGGGCAGAGGCTGTGCCATGCTAGCTAATGTGCTATCTACAAATAGGGAGTTTAGCCCGTTGCTACCGTCCGTTCATACATTCGTTATCCGAAGCTAACTGTTAGCTGTACTAGAGGCTCACAGTGGTCATAACAAAGTGACTGAATGGCCGGTGCTGCTTGTATTTTTCATTAAATTAAACGATCTATCAGAGTAAAAGCTAATAATCTAATTAGCAGACAAAACCTAACGCTAACGCTGCTTTTGGTTGATTATAATCTAGCTACCGTTTATTTATCATGATAGCATCTTTTTACATCACTGTCATAAATACTTAAAGCAGGGCTTAAACTTGTATTAAATAACTACAGCTAAAGATAGTATTATGTATTTGCAATATGAGGGAACTACATACTTGCAAATGTGTTTACTGGAATGATAACGTTAAGCGTTAAGTCCAATTACGACATCTAAAAGTTTACTCCATGTTTCAGCAATAATACGTAACAATAAAATAAAGCTCAACGTTTCATGAACGGTGGAGTTGTTTAATTCGGCGTGTAAGTTATTTACCAAACTGTAAGCTTAATAACTAAATCTCAGTTCAGCATTTTTTCACACTGCTGGCTGGTTACCACTACTCACTTCAGTTTACTCATGAGGAAGACTACGAGAATGAATATTTGATTTATCATATGTATTTTAAACGGATCAGTGGTATAATGCAGAGGTCTTGACATGAATTTTCTCACCTGTCAGATGCTGAGGGCAATCATCCAGGATGTATGCTGTGTACAGACAAGCCCACACCCCCACTGCAGTGGAGTTTTCCGTCTACTGCAACTTTATATCCAGTAAGGAGAAGAACTTGGTCGTCGCAGGAACATCTCAACTCTTTGTCTACAGGATTATCCACGATGTGGAGGTAATGATAAGTTTCCACTTTCATTGTTTCATTCTTTCAGGCCTTAAAAAATAAGCTCAAATCGTTGGTGAGTTAATGCGCTAGGTATAACATTTCTGTTATTATTTCAGAGTACATCAAAGGCTGACAAGTCCTCAGGTAAGTCTGGACTCCAAACTCAAAACAAACTGAGTTCACTACTGATAAATTAAATAAACCTATATGAGCGTATTAGCCGTCCAGCTTCAATCTGTCCCCCTCCTGCAGATTCCAAGTCTCGTAAGGAGAAGCTGGAGCAGGTGGCGTCCTTTTCTCTCTTTGGCAATGTTATGTCCATGGCCAGTGTGCAGCTTGTGGGCGCCAGCAGAGATGCACTCCTTCTCAGTTTCAAAGATGCCAAGGTATTATCATCTAAGCTGTGCACTGCCTAACAGACTTTTTAACTGCCTAAAAATGTTTTTGTTCTGACCTCTGGGTGTGTTTGCTCTCTCACCAGTTATCCGTAGTGGAGTATGACCCCGGGACACACGACCTCAAGACGCTGTCTCTTCATTACTTTGAGGAGCCAGAACTCAGAGTATGTAGCAACAAGAACTTATATGATGTGTGAAATATCTGCCTAAATTGTAGTAGATGTTTACAAGTGAATGAATTATTTCAATCATTTGGACTCTTTTTCAATTTTCAGGATGGGTTTGTACAAAATGTACATATCCCCATTGTCCGTGTAGATCCAGAGAATCGCTGTGCTGTAATGCTCGTTTATGGCACCAAACTTGTGGTGTTGCCGTTCAGAAAGGACACTCTAACTGATGAACAGGAAGGTGGAGTTGGAGAAGGGTACGCGTGCATTCCCCTAAATATTCTGCTTATTGACGTCTTTTAGTGTTTGGTGCGCACTTGTGTCCCAAATATTTATTTGTCCACTTTTATCCTTCTGCTGTTCGAGTTTATATTAACACTCAAAAGCTGTCTGACCGTGCTGAATCCAAAACTGTCTGTGTATCTCATCCGCAGACCTAAGTCCAGCTTCCTGCCCAGCTACATCATCGATGTCCGCGAGTTGGACGAGAAGCTGCTAAACATCATTGACATGAAGTTCCTGCATGGCTACTATGAGCCCACGCTGCTCATCCTGTTCGAGCCCAACCAGACATGGCCTGGGTCAGTCCAACACACCATCAGCTATAATGACGACTTTCTGTCTTTTATCTGATACTCTGAGCTGCTAACAAGAGTTACGTTCTGTTTGATTCAACCAGATTTGATTCAGCGTTTAACTTCTGTTGTTTCTCTGTCTGTCAGACGTGTGGCTGTGCGTCAGGACACTTGTAGCATCGTTGCCATCTCCCTCAACATCATGCAAAAGGTCCATCCCGTCATCTGGTCCCTCAGTAATCTGCCTTTTGACTGTACGCAAGTCATGGCTGTTCCCAAACCCATCGGTGAGTTCAGTAAATTTTCTCTCTTGTCACTGCTTATCAACTGTGTGGTCGCTAGTTTCCCTCTCTGCCATACAGGTCATTTCTCCTGAAGTGTTGGATATAAATTTACACTATGTGAGGAAGTGTGTTGTGTTGTGAAAGTGTTTGGTGTGGCGGCTCCTGAGAGTTCTGATCACGTATCAAATCTTTCCAGGTGGAGTGGTGGTGTTTGCTGTGAATTCGTTGCTGTATTTGAACCAGAGTGTTCCACCATATGGAGTTTCTCTCAATTCTCAGACAGCTGGGACCACAGCCTTCCCGCTGCGTAAGCATCATGATCTGAGAACACACACCTAAACTATATCGCGCCTTGTTAATATTCAGTGGGTTCCAAAAGTCTAAGACCACTTTCCCATTTGATATTTTTTGATGTTCACGTGTTTTGATTACGCAGGTGTACAGGATGAAGTGAGGATCACACTAGACTGCTCCCAGTCTGACTTTATCGCCTATGATAAGATGGTCATCTCTCTGAAAGGAGGAGAAATGTGAGTCATTGTGATTACCAGTAAAATACACGTGAACCGTGCTGACAGTTCATGATTCGTCTCTGACTGTTTTCTTGTCGTCTTGCAGTTACGTGTTAACACTCATTACCGATGGCATGAGGAGTGTGCGGGCTTTCCACTTTGACAAAGCTGCTGCCAGCGTCTTGACAACTTGTGTAAGTTCTGCTTAAAGCTGAGAGCAAAAATGATCTGATGATACAGGACGTCTCTGAAACAATTACCCTTCTTTTTTGTTTCTGTGGATAAAAATAAATGGGAGGAGGTATTAGAGTTTGACTGACATGGGGTTTGAAGGCTAACACCAGTATTTTAGGATTAAAGCTGCTGAATGCTGCAGAATTTAAGAATTCTTATGTCTGACTGATATTTTAGGATAAAAAATAAATGCTCAGTCTATACTATGTTTGTCAGCTTTTAGAGGATTTAGATATCGACAGTCAGCCATACTGATGCCTTACACTGTGGGCTTCCCTCTTCCAGATGGTAACCATGGAGCCCGGCTACCTTTTCCTCGGTTCCCGCCTGGGAAACTCTCTGCTCCTGAAGTACACAGAGAAACTTCAGGAGACTCCACCAGAGGAGGGCAAAGAAAAGCAGGACAAAGAAAAAGAGAAAGAGAAGGATAAAGATAGACAGGTTTGAAAGCAATTGTGGAAAATGTGAATTATAATATTGTTCTTGTGAAGGACCATTTATATTTTCACTCGCTTTATGCTTTTATTGTTGCAGCAATTATTTCAGATAAGGAACTTGTCAGTCTTTCAAAGTAAATGTGCGCAGCACACAGTGTACACACTGAAGGATTGTTGCTCTGTTTGACAGCTGGTTGTCAACATGCTCTTTGTTCTAAATCTCTGCTAATGAATTCCAGGAGGAACCGCCGAGCAAAAAGAAGCGAGTAGAATCGTCCAACTGGACTGGTACGTTCAACTTCAATGTTTCATGTGTGCCAGAAAGATGTGTGAGATCTTACAGCTTTATATCGTATTTGTTCTGACAGATGAGGTGGATGAGATCGAAGTGTATGGAAGTGAGGCCCAGTCCGGCACTCAGCTGGCCACCTACTCCTTCGAGGTAGTAAAACCCTAAAGCTTTATTGCTTCTTATGTAAATGCAGATGTTGTGGAGTGTGACTGAGAGGTCTCCTCTGTGTTTTGTTACAGGTGTGCGATAGCATACTCAACATTGGACCTTGTGCGAATGCGTCCATGGGTGAACCTGCCTTCTTGTCA